ACATCCACAAAATATAGAGTACTTTGTTTCATAAAGCGCAATAAAAGACATTTTTGTCTTTAAAAGCCCCTAAGGGGTTCAAACAATAGGTCCCCCCATTTCAACAAATGAGTTTTTTTTTAGACTAGAAGAGTTCTGCCTTTTAAGATAGGAAAGTATAGCAGTTAAAGTTGCTACTTGAGAAAATACTGAACCATAGAGATAAAAATAGCCCTGTGATTCAAATTATAAATTGTATTTGGAATAAAAATGAGAGAACTAGGGGTGCTAAAAAACACATCCTCCAAAGACAGATATTTACATGGGAATGTGGCTGATAATTAATTGACATATTACTGATCTTGCTGGATTTTATTCTGCTTTACTTCCATAAATTGCAGGATCTTCTTTACTTTATCTTCGCCAGAAGATTTAAACTTTAAAAGCCTTGCCCTCATAATTTGCAAGTTAATTTATTTATAAAGTAAATGTAAACGCTGCTTAAGCTAATTCAAATGAAATTAAAAGTAAAATAAGTAGCCAACCTTATCACTGTCTGTAACCTACTAACAAGGTAAGGAAAGCATCAGATGAGCTACCTGAGAAACTAACGTAACGTTTCCCCACTTTAAAACCAAAACAAACATGGTGGTTCCGTGCCATGTTAATTTCTTTTGAAAAAAGTTGCATCTTATCCCTTTTTTCGCTTTACAAAGCGCAGGCTATTTTAATTATTGTGATCAATTTGCGCCGTCAATCCCGGTGCATGCGCGCTTCATTTGCAGTCTGGACGCTGAGGCTCTGACTGCAGCTGAGAGGGACTCCTGCGGGAGCAGGGGGAGGCGCCCCACGGCAGAGTAGGAACGATACATGCTTTCACGTAGGAGTCTCCAAAAGCCGCCAGTGAAACCGAAAAAAGTCGCCAGAGCTAGTCGCTAGTCGCTTTTTTGAAAAATAGTCGCTGGAGGGGTCTGTAAAGTCGCTGAGTTGGCAACACTGCACCTGCGGCGCTGACTCGCTCTGCCATATTTTTTTTCTTCCTCTTTCAGTCAAGAGGCAGTGATGACGGCGCGGCGGATGACGCAATAATCGCGCGACACAACTAATCGATGATGAAATTCGTTGCCAACGCTTTTAAAAGTCGATTTTTATCGATTTTATCGATTCGTTGTTGCAGCCCTACGATCCAGACTGCCGATCCAGTTTTTAAAAAAATCTGGTCCGTATTTTCCAGTTTCACCGATTGAAATGATCCATTCCACTATTTTGCGCCAGTGTTCCCTGAATCCGGTCCGCATTTTCCAGAACACCTTCAACACACCCACAGGTCTTTTTGGGTCTGTCTCCCGGCCTAACCATTAAAACAGGTGAATTGGAAGATATCGGGAAAATGTCAGCCGTGTGGGATTATTTTATCCTGCACGATGTGTAGATGGAGACTAGGTGTGGAGGAGATTGGGTAGTATAAGGCATTTTTGTGTAATAGTTCACTATTATTTGCACTGATTTTTTTTTTTTTTAAGCAGTCTTTTTTCAAGAGTACAGTCCTGATTCTAAGTTAATAGAATATTTTCCATATTCTGTTTTGCATTTTTATTAAAACTTACAGTAATACTTGCACCTTTAACTGTTTACGGTTTTACTGTTCACTGTGCAATCTTAGATTGCTATTCATAATTTTGTCCAGTTTGTGTTTATCTCTTAATAAACAGGTAAGTTTGTTGTTACCAATCATTGTGTTTTTTATTCAATCTCACCTAATTCAGCTGGCTAGATGTTATCAAGAGTACTAAAACCCTTTTCAACATGAGTATTACAACTAAGGCTAAATGCTTTAACTTAAATGCATGCTTGAGTAGGCTGGTATCGGCCAGTATCGGTATCGGATCGGAAGTCCAAAAACAATATCGGCATCGGATTGGAAGTGCAAAAACCTGGATCGGGACATCTCTAATATATATATATATTATATATATATATATATATTTTTTTTTAGGGGTGGAACGGTTCACAAAATCCACGGTTCGGTTCGATTCACGGTTTCTGGTCACGGTTTTCGGTTCGATTCGATACATGTTGGTTGTTACACCGAAATTCCATAAAAAATTATGAAATTAATGAAAAAATCCCCCCAAAAATAATGGATTGTAATTATTTTAAATGATCCGCGGAAACCCTGGATCATTTCCGTATGTTTTGCTGCTTTGAATTTAATCATCTGGCGCATGCTCTCTAACCTGACAACAGCCAGATGCATGTCTCGCTCCGGCATCTGGCTGTTGTCAGGTTACATGCTCTCTACCATCTCCAAGGAACTCAGAGGGGAGCAGACGAAGCCACAGCGGGGGCTGTAGGCTTTGCTTTGAGCAGCCGGTCTGGAGCGCAGCGGGGCGGAGCGGGGGTTGCTGACGGAGTATGGGATTTCGGGGTCAGCATGACATGTTGCTGTTAGCATAAACAAAACGTGTTGCACAATGCTTGCACACTGTTGCACTTTTATCCACAACTTTCTTTCCGCTGTCATCGTACTGTAGGTCACTCTAAATGCAAAGTGGTCCCATACAGCAGTCAGCAGACCTATAAAGTGCTGCTGGCGCGTCTTCCAACTCCAGTTCTTTCCCACTCGCCAGTCCGACACAATTCTCCACAACTGATTTTTTTCCCTGCTACACCCGGCTAAGCTGCTTCGCTTCTTCTTCTTCTTGTTTACTACTGGCGGTTGGCTTTGGTCGCAGTACCGCCACCTTCTGCTCTGGAGTGTAATCGCTTCCTCTATGAGAAAAAGGAGCAGCGCATGAACCGAACGAAACACACGCGAACCGAACCGAGACAGTCAAACCGAACGGTTCTGACGGTTTTCATAAATCGTCCCATCCCTAATATATATATATATATATATATATATATATATATATATATATATATATATATATGCTCCCAATCGTTAGAGTTATTAGACAGCATGGGATTAATGTTCACTGTTATGCTGATGATACCCAGCTATATCTGTCTTTGAATCCAGATGAAGCTAATCCATTACATAGATTACAGGCATGTCTTGAGGACATAAAAACCTGGATGACTCTTAACTTTCTCCTTCTGAATGCAGACAAAACAGAAGTTATAGTCTTTGGACCAGAGTCTTTGAAAAGGAAGTTGATTAGCCAGTCACTTCATTTGGATGGGATTAAACTGATTTCACATAATAAAGTGAAAAATCTTGGTGTTGTTTTTGATCAGGACCTGTCATTTAAATCCCATATCAAAGAGATTTCTAGAATTTCCTTCTTTCATCTGAGGAATATTTCAAAACATTTGAAACAACCTTTCCAGGGTTGATGCTGAGAAACTAGTCCATGCATTTGTTAGTTCAAGCCAGGACTATTGTAATCTTTATTATCAGGAAATCCACAATCTGTAGTTAAAAGTCTTCAGCTGATCCAAAATGCTGCAGCCAGATTTCTGATGAAAATTAAAAAGAGAGATCATATCTCTCCTATCTTGGCTTCTCTTCATTGGCTTCCTGTTAAATCAAGAATTGAATTTAAAATCCTCCTCCTCACATATAAAGCCTTAAATGGCCAAGCTCCACCTGATATCAGAGATCTGATTGTTCCTTATGTTCCTAACAGAGCACTTCACTCTCAATCTGCAGGTTTACTAGTGGTTCCTAGAATTTCTAAAAGTAGAATGGGAGGCAGATCTTTTAGTTATCAGGCTCCTCTCCTGTGGAACCAACTACCAGTTTTAGTCCGTGAGGCGGACACCCTGTCTACTTTTAAGGCTAGGCTTAAAACGTTCCTTTTTTATAAAGCTTATAGTTAGAGTGGCTCAGGTTATCCTGAGCTTTCTCCATAGTTATGCTGCTATAGGCTTAGACTGCTGAAATACATGGGGACCCCTATTTCATAATTCTGCTTCATTCTATCGCTATTCTCCTACTGTGCAGAATCTGTTAGTTCAATCTCTAACGTTCTGCTCTCTCAGCTTTTTCTCATAGTAGATTTGCCTCTTCTGTTCCTGTTTGGCTGTGACTCCATCCTGGAGAGAAATATCAGCTGTGCTGCTTCCATCAACAACCTTGTTTATAGATGGAGTTCAGTCTGTTTTTCAGTGTAGTCCTGTTTCTCTGACTGTGACTGGCTGGATGTGCTCTCTTCATCCTCTGAAATAGGAGTTGGCCCAGAGCTCGTCTGTCTGATTGTGTGTTTCCTTTTACAGCTGCTTTACAGTCTGCTTCTGTCTCCTTGATCCCCAGTCGGCCTCAGCAGATGGCCGATCACACTGAGCCTGGTTCTGCTGGAGGTTTCTTCCTGTTAAAAGGGAGTTTTTCCTCTCCACTGTCGCTACAAGCATGCTTAGTGTGAGGGATTGCATTTGAGTCAATGAGTCGATGCAATCAACTGGTTTTCCTTAGATACAAAACTTTGAATCAGTTTGGCTGTATGATCTGGCTGAACTGTAAAGTGCCTTGAGGTGACGTGTTGTGAATTGGTGCCATATAAATTGAATTGAAATTTAATGTGGTACAATAAAGGACCTGATAGCTGTCTAACAGTTGAGATCTAAGGTTCCCAAACTTTGTCGCATAATATAATTATAATTATATAATTGAACTTCATTGATCTTACGCTGGAGAAATTTACCTCTGCATTTAACCCATCCCCTGGGGGAGCAGTGGGCTGCCATCGTGAGGCGCCTCTATTCTACAAGTGAACATTTATGTTGCCATAAATGGAAATGACAATCAAATCTTTGCAATAATTATGGAAAAAATACATCATTATTCATCCATTTTCTATCTTAGATATTAGCAAATCCTCACCTGACAGCTGTTAATCACTTGTAAATGATCTATATGTGGAGGAAACTTGAGATATTGGATTGTAGGTGAAAAAGTTTTGAATGTTTGAAATTAAGTAAAACAGCTGGAGTGCTTTAGAAAACAGCCTCGGCAGACTTTAAAAATAGGGGGGAAAAACTGAATATAGTTTTAAAATCAAAGAATTAAATCGTCTTACCTTCTACATAAAGTGCCATGGTTAGATTGCCAAGGACAAAAATATATGTATAATTCCAGATAAGCAGTTTCACCGAGAAAAGTTTTCTTTAAGAGTTATTTTGCCGTGAGAATGAATGTGAAGACCGTGGAGTCAATGAACACATCATCCCGTAAATGAACCAAAGTTTCCGTGCAGTATTCCTAACGCCAGCATAGGGGAATCATCTGCATATCAGGAATGGATTTCAAAGTGAATCACATTTTGTCTTTATAGATCTGGGCGGCAGTGAAACGTCACTTTCAGACAAACAAAACTATGCTGCCTCCTTTTACATTCCCAGTTACTGGTGAAAGCGCGTCATAAATCCCAGGCTGTGAACCCAAACGCACCTCTGCTCCTGTTTTATTACTTTTTTCAACCCAGAGTCCACATCTACTGTCAATTATTAACCGCTGATATAGAGTGTAATAAAAGAAAAAAATTCAACGTAGAATGTAAAGGGATGGATAAATGGGAAGTGCTTCGGGAATGAAGCCAACTCATTCTAGCGCCTCCCTGAACGCCACACGGAAGAAAACGTTCGCATTACTGGAACAGATTTTCTATCCATATCGGTGCCAATCGGCAATAAAACCCCCGTACCTGAACGGCACCCTGCGACAAAGATCAGATAAAGTAACATTTAGAAGAAATAACAAACAGTTTCCTTACTGTGTGCTTTCAGGATGTTGGCGAGAGAAAGTCAATGGTGGCCTGGACCGCAGAAAAACGGATACAAGACTAAACCTGCTTTAAAACGCTGCGCCACCGTTTCCCTTACAGTTACACATTTAGAAAAAAAAAGATTAATATACTGTAGATAGCGAGAAATTTTATAAGGGAAACAGTTTTAAGATATTTTACAATCCACTGCCATTCCAAGGAAGGGCAAATGGGGGCCAATGGGAGGGCAGCTTTTCTGTGATGACATTTTTGGAACCAATAGTTTTTTGCGACGTATTTCACTGGTTTCTTTTGGTTTCTTGCTAGTGATGAAACACGACCTGTATGGCAAAACGTTTTCATATTTATTAAAACCTTTGCTGCTCCATTTGTAGCGCACTTAAATATAATTATTACTAGTCAAAACTACATTCCTACTTGTCAGAAATGCAATTAAAGTTTTCCAGAATTACATTTTTGGCAGGAGAAAACGGAAGAGGATTAGAGCCACTGAAAAATAAAAGTTAACCGTACTCCTTCTCTTTTTTTTATTCTGAAATAAAATTGAAAAATCAGTTTTCCAGTGGCCCTGCTCACCTTTCGTAGGAGAATCTAAATTTCAGAATGTAAAAAAATATATAGCTAATACTAGTAAGAATGAATTTTCAGATAACTCGCATTTTTAAACGTTTTAAATGGCAATTTTGACATGCATTTAATGCTATAAATGAATACGCATTCAGATGTCTCAAACATATGTCTTTTAAGTCAAAATGAACATTTCAGATATCAGATATTACAAAATTATTATCACATTTATAATATAATTAGCAAAAATGTATTTTGTACACGTATCCAGTCAAGTTAAGAATTGTCCAAACGCTCTGCCATACCGGTGCATCACGTACACGAATGAATGCCACGTTGTTAAGGTTGTGTGTGCAGTTAGTGACGCCGCCATATTGTGAGGGGCACGTTTCTCTTAAAAGTCAACACAAAAATACAGGTTTATGTCCAACAATATCTGAAATAGTTTAAATGTGTAAAAATACATGTTCATTTAATACCAACAGTGGTGTTTTCATAAAAACTGATAAAATATGAAAAATCCAACCCCCAAAAAAGTATTAACTAGAAAGACACCAAAATGAGCATACATTGTACTTTTTCCTGTAATGTGAAATAAAGCATGAAACCACCAAATTATTTCTGTATTGGTACGAATAAATAAACAGCATTTTGTCTGTGTGTGTATCGAACACATAGAGAGTAGTTACAAAGATAACTCATCAAACCCGTTAATTATAATAATTATAAGGGTTTGACTGCTGTAACGCTCTTAAATGATGTACAACTAATTATTGAAGAGAGTATAAATCATACAATAGCCTTCAAAATTGCAACTTCTTGTACATTTTTTTTTATTTATTTATAAGAGATTGTTTTATGGGGAAAAAAACTCTGAGCTGAATAATAAATAAATCTGATAAAGATTTGAAAAAACAAGACATGCAAAACATATTTATCTTAGAGTAATTATTTTCCGCGTTTGCGTTTCTACTTTTAAAGATCGTCTTAATTATTAACCATTGCCCGTCTGAGTAAATTTTATGTAACCAACAGCTGTGATGCAGGCGAGATAAACAGGGAAATACCGCCCCCGTCTGGTAGAACTGTTTCACTTCACCCATCTCAAGCTTTTACAGCACAGCGAATAAAAAAACTAAAATTAGATAGTACCCATGTGCAATGTGAAAATAAAATAAGCTTGAATTTTGTATAGTTCGATAGACATGTTAAAGAAAAACTAATTGCACAAAAATGTCCCTTGGGTTTATGAAAAAACTGGGCTTTCCAAAAGTTGGAAGTTTGCCAGATATGCACATTTATTTTTTTTCTTAAAAACTATGAAAAGGATAGGCTGCTTAATTAAATAGCAAATTAATGTGGGCTTTTACTCCTAGGAATTTTGAGAGCCATTATAAATCACTTTCTGCAGCCACCAAAAAGTGTTTTCCCTTTATAAATACATCTAATTATTATATACAGTAATAACTAGAAGTGTCAAATGTACTTACATCTTTTACTCCAGTAAAAGTAAAGTTACCTGTGTGAAACAGGCTCTTGTACAATAAACATACTGATTTAATTTTCTTCACTCTACTAAAATGCAAAAGTGAAATTAGATTTTTTCCTGGAGACAAAATACATTAAAAAAACTATTCCTCTAATGTAGTTCTACACACAAAACATGGTTTATGTACCTCTTCTATTCACTGTTTTGGAGAGAACATAAAAGACTGAATCTAGTTTTGTTCCAATTTCACATTTCCAACAGGATAACAGATTGACGTGAACAGAAGCTCTAAAAAACAACTGAATATTTTTTAGCTTTAGTGTTCACAGCGCTGAAGTTTAAATAATATTGAAATATAAACAAAATTTGAAACACAATCAACATGCACATTTCAAATCTAATGATCTAATGGATGTGGAATGTCCTGCATTTGAGTCTGATCCATCATTTACCCCCCAGCCCCCACCATGAAACATGAACATCTTCATGCTTTTGATTTTCTCTATTTTGTTTCAGCTTTCATTGCAGGTTATCAATAAGTATAGAAGTAAAAAGCCAGTTTAGAGAAGGTAGGTAGTAGAAGTAGGGAGTAGTGCCCTAGTAGTTAGGACATAGAGCTTGGAATCCTGAAGTTGAGAGTTTGAGCCCCACTCCCACAGACTGCCACTCTGGGTCCTCAGCAAAGACCCTTAAACCCAAACTGCCCCCCGGGGGCCACACGATGGCAGCCCACTGCTCCTCAAGGGGATGGGTTAAATACAGAGTTCATTTCGTTGCTCTGTACTTGTGACTGTGTAATGGCAATAAAAGTTGGTAAAAAAAAAAAAATAAATAAAGATATTTTGTTCAGATATTGTAAGAGTAAAAAGTCGAACTCATCACCTAACCAAGAGTCTTTGACACGTCTTTCTCAAGCTAATTACAGATACTGGGGGAAAAAAAAAATCTACTTAAGGACAGCAACTATGAAAGCGTAGGTACTAAACATGTCAGTAAACAGTAAAAGTTCACATGATGGTTTGTTTTTCAGCATTTGGTCCAGTTTCTCTCCTAGACAGATATGGGTTACTGTCACTGACTGTATGTGTTCACTTTCTCAACTCAGCTTTATTCATAAAGCAATTTTAAAAAAAACACAGCTGCCACAACGTTCTGTAGATTCCAATTAAGCTTAAAATGTATAAAAACAACATAGAAGTTTAAAGGAATAAAACAGAATAAAATAATTTAAAACAAACAAAACCATATAAAAAAATTGAAACAGAGAGTATCATGCTGTGTTAAAAGCAAAGAATAAAACTAAGTTTTAAGACAAGTTCATAAAAAAAACAAAAAGACATTGAAGAAGATTGCTTAATGAGGAGGGGGCAGCTCAAAAAGTTCTGTCTTTCTTTTTTTTGACACAAAAGTGTGTCTGGTAAACGGGTTCTTTCCTCATCAGAGCCACCTATGGAGCTAATCTACTGTTACCTTTTCTAACACAAAAGGTTCTCATGGATCAATGCTTCCATGTTCTTTATGCATGTCTGCTTCTCTTTCCTTGAATCCCCAGTCAGCCCTGACTGAAGGTCGCTCACAATGAGAACGAAATGAAAAAATGAAGTTATTGAAAATAATAAAAAAAAAAAAATCCAAGAGGCCAATCTTGTTTTATACACATTTTTATTTTACCCTGAGTTATCAGTCAGTGTTTAATGATTTAAGTGCATCAGTAGAGTCTCCATCCATTCATTCACTCACCTCCAGAGAACAAAATCTAATCAATAAGAGGTTTATTAAAAGTTAGGACTTCATGTACTGCGAGCTGTATTTTCTGACCAAAACTAGACTCATATTAATAGATAAAGATCTTATCCAGCGGACAAATATAAACCCTGACAATCCATATGGAGCTCTGCATCACAGGCGGGGCTCTGGGGTTCTGGTTCTGTGTACATGCTGGAGGGCAGGCCCACTTGGGGGTAGTCATGCTCCGATAAAGGCCACAGCTGTGTCTCTCTCTTCTATCAGCTCTGCTGCTGTGGCGTCCATCTTGGAACGGGAAAAGTCATTGATGGTCAGCCCGTCAACTATCTTCCAGGTCTTATCCTAAAAAACAAAACAGAAATAAAAGAAGAGCTCTATTATAGTTTTGTATTTAGATGTATGTAGAAGAGGAAAACTCCTCAGCGGGTTTTCTGTAATGTGAAAGCGAAGTCAGATCAGGGCTACCTTGATCTGGACAGGAAATGAGTAGATGATGTCCTCTGGGACGGCGTAGGAGTTTCCAGTAGAGTAGATCCCCATGGAGGTGAACTCCCCCTAAAGAAAAGAGGAAATGCAGAGGCTCGGAAATGCAGCGTTGCTTTATATTTTCAAAAATATGCCAAACAAAACATTTACGGCTGAAACAATCCGATTGCGATTAATTGAAATCATTGTCAACTAATTAAGTAATCGATAAATCGTTAACTGGCGTAATATGACTCTAAAACTTAACTTTAGCCAACAGAGAAATCCACCTTGAGGACCAATTATCCCAAAATTGTAACAAAAAAATATGTAAACATTTTGCATTTAAGATA